GTTTTCCCAAGCCAATGGAAGAAGGCGAGACTGGTGCTTATACCCAAGGGTAAAGGGGACCCAAACTCTCCTTCATCCTTCCGGCCACTCTGCATGCTAGACACAGCAGGCAAAATGATGGAGAGTCTGCTCAAAATACGCTTGACGTCAGCCATAGAAAGCGAGGGAGGCCTTTCACCCCGACAACATGGCTTCAGGAAGGGACACTCAACTATAGGAGCAATTGGCGAAGTAGTCGAGGCGGTACATAAGGCCGAAGAAGCCTGCCACCAGGCGCGGCCAATAGTGCTGCTAGTAACACTGGACGTCAAGAACGCCTTCAACTCGGCAAGATGGGACGATATGCTGGAGGCCTTGAAACGGTCATTCAAGGTTCCAACATACTTGCTAGACATGATCCGGGACTACCTCAGAGACCGTTGGCTTTTGTACGACACAACACAAGGTCAGAGAAAGAGACGTATAACCGGCGGAGCGGCACAGGGGTCTGTACTTGGCCCGGACCTCTGGAACGCCACGTATGACAGTCTGTTGCGCACGGAAATGCCGGAGAGCGCCTTCCTTGTCGCCTTCTCGGACGACGTGGCAGCCGTCATAACAGCAAGAAATGTCCAGCTAGCACAGCTCAAGCTAAACCAGGTCATGCGCAACGTCAGTGGATGGATGAGCGATCACGGTCTGCAATTGGCTACAGCCAAAACGGAGATCGTGCTCCTCACCAGGAAACGGATCCCAACAATTATAAATATAATGGTCGGACCTCAACTCGTGACGACTTCTAGGTCTACAAAATACCTAGGGGTGAAGCTTGACAGCAAACTCACATTCTGGGAACACATCCATGGAGTATGTGAAAAAGCTGCGCAGAGCACGGCGGCTCTAAGCCGGCTGATGGCGAACGTGGGCGGCCCGAAGCCATGCCGCAGGAAGCTTCTGATGACAGCGGTCCAATCGGTGCTCCTGTACGGGGCAGAAATATGGGCTGACGCATTGAAAGTCAAAAAATACCGGATTCAAATGTCTTCGGTACAGCGCAGAGGGGCACTACGCATTGCTTCTGCATACCGTACAGTGTCCGCGGACGCGGTTCTAGTTATTTCTGGCGTCATGCCAATTGAGCTACTTGCTTACGAGCGAAAAGAGATTTACAATCTCAGTGCCGAGATAGGTCGAGCAGCTGCCGCGGCAAGGGCGCGCGAGCAACTGATCCAGCAGTGGCAACAAAACTGGAACGCGAGCACAAAAGGTCGATGGACACACTCCCTGATAGCCGACCTTCAAACATGGCTGAACAGACCACATGGGGAAGTCGATTTCTACCTGACGCAATTCCTCGCCGGTCATGGTTACTTCCGAGAATATCTTCATAGAATGGGAAGGGTGGACTCACCGTTCTGTCACTACTGTGGAAACGTCGAAGATAACGTGTACCACACATTCTTCACCTGCGAACACTTCTTGATTTCGCGCAGAATGTTGGAAGAAAGACACGGAGACATAACTCCGAACAACATAGTTGGGGTAATGATTTCCAGCGCAGAAAAGTGGGAAGCAGTTGCGAGATACGTGAAATTCGTACTCCGCTGCAAACGAGAGGACGGTTGTCTACTGAGGACACCCTAATGAAACGCCCCTACAAAAGAGCAGCCCCAAGGCTCTAACAGCGCGCTCCTGCATCTGAAGACATGCATAATTGCGGTGCCAGATGCGGGATTCTTGCGCGGGCGGTGGGAGTTTGGGTTTTAGTGGGCAGACCAACACGCTTCGGTGGGAGTCCCACACTCGGGGAAGGTAGTATAGATACTAGCGCCCCCGGCCAGTGCATAAAGCATTGAAGCATGATTTTCTCACACAAAGGGGAAGGACCTACAGTTTTACGCCGACTCCGAACGGCGATTGTATTTTTATGAGAAGCTGCTTTTCATGGCAGACATACACTCGAAGGTTTGTCATTGCCTACCGAGGGGAGACCGCTGTTAAGAAAAAACCGTTTTTCTATATTTTTTTTGGCGAATTTGCTTTGACCAGGGCTTGAATCAATACATCACTGCAGCTGCCTGCAAAAGATAAAGCCAGCTTCCCGACATAAGCTACTATTCCATACGACGAACACAGATATGGAGTGAACTGTTCGCTTTTGTTCGAGCACTTAGTCAACCAAATTTCATGTGCGGCGTTGGTACAGAAAGGGAGTATTCGCTTACCGAAACTGAGAACACCGATTCGAATCGAAGCTGGCGCAAATTTTCATTTTTTATGTTTTAAAAGTGACTAGTCGCTTTTTATACCCGTTCGGGTATAAAAGGGAACAATGAGTATCTTCATAGGACATGCAGGAACAAAAGCGAACAGTTCATTCCATATAAAGAGATCAAAAGTGGTATTAGTCGCATTTGAATATTTACCACTATACAGTACTTTCATTGACGTTTATAGTAAGGTCAAACACGTTTCTGTTTGATTTTACTATTTCCCCCTCGGTGTGAAATTAGTAGAAAATGAGTTCGATCTTTGGGTCCCTCATAAATCTCTCGTACACAAACGAAGGCGAAAAGATGATGATTTGGGTCACACGCAAGATGAAATGAGTTTTTTTTATTTAAATTGTTAAGTCCTAGAACCAAAGCAGAATATCATCAACGCTTGGGAGGAAATAAAAACTGTTTACCCAAAACTTTACGGACTTTTGAAAAAACTGTAATTTAGTTGGTACCTCGGTGTCCGCTGAGCGCCTTTTTTCAAAAGCTGGTGCTACAGCCACCGAGAAACGCAACCGCTTAGCAACAAAACGCTTATCAAAGCTTTTGTTTTTGCAAACTTGGTTGAATAATAAATAATTATCGCCGCTAAAAATATTCGTTTTATTTTATTTAAGGGTAATTAACAAGAGAATTAGAAATTTTTTTATGGAAATGTGTTTTTGTGAATACTCACTGTAAAAAAGTGCCTTAAAAATTCGAGTAATCGATTATTTCTCAATAACTGCAATTAAGTTTTTTGCATCCCTAATTATGACACTATTGAAGTAAATGAGCGATATGTACATATGATTTACATATGTTAACTTTATTACCGCTTGCTGCTCCAAGGAGAAGTTCTCAGGCATAAGACTTAAAATTTAAAAAAAGTTGGCAGCTCAATTTTCACTGTTATTCATAAAATATGCGGTTTTATGTGCAAACTGAAACTTACAAATTTTTATAGAACTACATATGTATACAGCGGCCGCTGTGGTGTAGTGGTTAGAAGAGCGCATTACAATTCCGCATTTAGTATAACTATGTATAAATTCTGTTCTTTAAACAGTGGTGAAATAAACTTGGAAATTGTCTTTATTATAACCAGCACATTTGATTTTAAAATCAGATAAAAAGTAGTGAAGTAAGTTATGGATAAGCGCATCAAGAACGAAAATAAAATATTTTTACCTAAAAAAAATCCCTCAGGTACTATAAGAAACCCATTTTCATTTTGTATTGGACTCTACCTATAACCTGCACTATATTATGTATCCGGTGTATTCCTTTTTTTTTGTAGCACTGCGCTATCTAAGAAACAGTCTAAGTGGAATTATAGCTTTTTGCTTTAGAACTTTTCATATGTACACCAATGCATACATAAATATATGTACTTGTTTGATTTTTTTTTTCTAGATGGAAGCACCAGTTTAAACTTTTATTGGAAGAGTCTGGATTTGTGACCCCGGGAAAACAGTTATCTGAAGTTCGTGTTCTCTTCATGGGGCGTGAATGTTTCGAGGCTTTATCAGAACATGACTGTCAACAAATTTATGATATTCATCAAGACGAAATAATTGAGAAGAGTAAGCAAAACTTCATAGAACTATTGCTGGAGAACGCCCAATTTTTTCAACAGTTTAAAAATGTGGATATCATTACCCAAGAAGATGTTCGGGCTATAACAGATCTTATACAGGACGATTCCAGGTAATTTTTTAACCGGCTTCAAAAAATAGCTGAGGTTATCTATTTATCGTGTATAGTTTTTTTTTATATTTGTTCGTGAACCGATTTGAAGGATTCTTTTCGCGATGAGTTAAGGACAGCCCCACAATGGTGGTACTTAAATTTTATCAACGTCGGTTGGGTAATGATCATTATCTTTAATGATAATGATAATTGTGGTAATGATGAAAATAATTCGAATGGGAACGATGACACGAGTTTACCCATCACAAAAAAAAATAAAAAATAACCTAAAAAATAAAGAACAATCTTCACAAAATAAAACACAAGTGTGATAAAACAAAACGAAAAAATTGTTTCTTACACTTAAGTATATACTGAAGAATTATAAAAAATAAATTAAATACTTATATTTGAAGCCGAGAGGGTAAACTACTTACCTACCTCATACTGCTAAAACAGTCGTTTTCATCAAAATTAGGTAGAACCTTAAATAACTCAAAGCTCATGATTCTCATTATCGATTTGTATCATCGACTTGCATTATAAGCAGCATTAGTACATAACATTCCGTAAACCGGCTGTTCAAACCGAAATGTGAATGTAGGCACAGTAAAAATTTATTACAAAGTAATCGTGCATGGATCATAAAGTAGGTTCTCGGCCCCCCATAGTTATGTTTCATTTATAAAAGTTGGTTTTTACTTTTAAACAAAACAAAAAAACTTATCATATTTTTTTTACCTAAATATTTTTTAAGAACTAAAAGATAGATAATTCCTTGATATGAGTGTTTTTGCTCCTACCAAAAATACTTGCTTCTCAAAGCGGTTGAGGCCAACAATTTCAGTTTGACCTCCGCATCATACTTTTGCTATACATAGCGTCGCTGTAGTTCATAAGCATGAATGAAGCTTTTCTACCAATTCCACGACGGGCGGTTGTACGTACCGGAATGACTTGGGTTTCACCCGACCAACGGCTGTTGTGCTGGTGATATAACCCCGTTTAGATTGGTGAAGTCGTTTAATCGTTGTTCGTCCCTGAGCGATACCAGCGGGATGCTCCGCGGACCAGAAACTTACTGCTACTGTGTATGCCAAAAAACCAACCTTCATTCAGCTCTAACTTCCGTGTGAGGACTAACCAGCAGCTCTTGGCCCCTCATACAGTCTTCTCAGTGTGTCAGTCCAGAATATATCGTAACGTGACATAAGTTATGTGCAATTCCTGCCTGGGGTGGTGCCACTTTAAAGTATGTTCTGGTCTGCGTACCACCCGTGAATGGAAAAATAGCTACCACAGTCCCTGTTTAGAGCTCTGCAGCCGCATTCGTCATACGAGATGCCGCCGATCGCCACCCCCAGGCAGCAACTTCAACAGCGGCAAATGCAAAGGGTACTATGCAATGCTATGCAACACCACTTATCCTTCACCCCCCTACAAGCTTGTTAGCTTTAAAATATCCGCATCCGCATTCGCATCCGCGGATGTTTAAAATTCCACATTCCTAATATGTACATTAGAGTGGTTCAAACAAATTTTTTTTTGGAAATTCATAAACGCTACCTCAAATTATTGTTATTTGTGATAAAAAAAGAGAAACGTGTTTTTTTATTTTGAAAAAAAAGTTTTCTTAGAGGTCGCGCTGGTCGGTTTTTTATAAAAACGCTGATGTTCTCATTTTTTTTATATTCTTGACATGTTAAAATGCAGCTAAAAATTTGTTTTTTACATATAATTACTCTGGTATTATTGGGGAACATTCCCTTAATTACATACCTGTCTTGGGCAGTTAGAATGGGCCTACTGCCCGAAAATATGCTCTCGAAAAGAGACTAGTAAAATTTAAACGTTGACACTGAACGATTTACGCATTGCCATGGGTTGGACCTTGTTACCAGGGGGTTTCTGGGGTTGCTAGTTAGGGATCTGAAGTCAGTTTTTCTAAATTCAAAATGGCGGATCCAAAATGGCGGTCAATTAAAAAAAAATGATTGGATTCGTTCGAAACCCGGCACTCGAGAGTTTTTGTGGTCGCCGATTACAAATCTGAAGTCAATTTTTTTAAATTCAAAATGGCGGATCCAATATGGCGATCAAATAAAAAAAAGTACTAAAATTAAAACGTTGATACTGAACTTTTTAAACATTGTCAAGGGTTAAAACACTGTGGTAACCCTAAGTTTCGCATTGAAATCGTACACGATATGGCAACTGCATTTTTAGCATACTCTTCTTATTTAGACATTCGCATTAAAGTTTCCCGCTACTCAATCCGAACCTTCTAGAAATATTTTCATCAGGTGATCGGAGTACTTAAATTCCTGCTTCAACAAATACTGTATTAATTACCGGTCTTGTCTCGTGATCACAGACAGTGATATTGTATAATTTTAGTAGACATATCTGTAGATAATTAAGAGTTGAATAAAGACTATTGAAGTAAATTGTCTAAAGTGGTGACCCCGAAGAAGTGAACGCGTACAACAAGCTACTACATGCCACCTGGCGAGGAAGAGCAAGGTGCTAGTGGAGCACCCACGAATTACGTGCACAACGGCGTCACTCCGCCAAAACCAATGCAGCACATGACAGCTCAAAGCGATACTGTTGACAGCCTCGCCATGAGGGTGCCTGCTCCAACATTACACGGGCATTCCATCAACAACATTGAGTCCTGGTTCACGTGACTAGAGGCGTACTTTTCAATCATCGGCTTCGGTAAAATGAATGCTGATCAGCGTGACCAAGCCAAATTCAATATTTCGGTTATGCACATGGATGAAAGGCTCCATGAACAGACTTGAAATTATCCGCAATCCACCGGACAAATGCAAGTACGACGCTCTACGACAAGCAATTTTGGCCAGATTCTCCACATCACCTATGGCAAGATCGGAGCAGCTAACATCAGGAATTCAGCTTGGTGACAACAAACCGAGTTTCCTATTAAGACCAGCAACTCATAAAGGACTTCTGGATACAACGACTACCAGTCTCAGCACGCGCAGTCATCGCTGGAGTTACAAAAGCAAATCCTGAAATGACGGTCGAACAGCTAGCATAAATCGCGTACGAAATTGTTGATGACGTACGGGTTAATAGCGTCGATGGAGTGTCCTCATACGAACCACAACATTCTAACCTCAAAAAACCACAAACAACGAGCTCAACTAGCAATAATGGAACTAGCTTGGATGACCGTGTCAGTCAGATGGAGCGCACTTTAGCTCGCATTGAGAAAAAACTTTCATCAACAAACCAAAATCGCAGCCGCTCGGTTACACGACGTCAAGACCACAGCTCTTCAAGTCACCGTAGCCAATTTCAACAACGGAACAATGAACAGCAGATTTGCTGGTACCACAAGAAGTTTAACGCACAAGCAACAGCCCGTGCAGTTTTTCTCAACAGTGTTCAAAAAACTAAGCACTTCGGTGGCATCGCCATCTAATGTCACCGAATCATGTAGCGCGTCCCCAAACATCTATCAAACGCAGCAAGTTCAAACCTCAAACAAATACATTTTTCTTCTACTAATCGCCTTTTTATTCTTGATGCCTTATCAAAAAAACAGTTTTTAATAGATACTGGGGCAGACGTGTCTTTACTTAAGGCCACACCACAAGACCGACTTCGGAAATTTAACACATCGCCAAAACTATACGCTGCTAATCAGTCAACCATCGATACCTTTGGTCAAGTGAGGGTCAAGCTTGACCTGGGTCTTCGGCGCTCCTTTGACTGGATTTTCTTGGTAGCGGATACGCCTTACAGCATTATTGGTGCAGATTTTTTCCGACATTTTAATATACTTATCGACCTCAAAAATGCCGCAATCATTGATAAAGAAACGAATTTGAAAAGTTATGCCGTCGCAACGGTAGACCTATCAACACCAACTCCAAAACTTTTCGACACTAACCACAAATACGCTCATATTTTACGTAATTTTCACGACGTCACACATCTCTCCTCACCTTACGGTTTGCGAGCGGCAACAACCACTGTGACACATTTTATTGAAACTTCCGGCCCACCAGTTTTTGCTTAAACCTCGGCGTCTGCCACCGGAAAAGTTTCGTGCGGTAAAATACGAGTTTGAATACTTGCTGAAAAGCGGCGTTCTTCGGCCGTCGAAGAGCGCTTACGCATCGCCTATTCACGTTGTTCGTAAAGCCAACAATTCCTGGCGACCATGTGGCGATTATCGCGCATTAAATGCACAAACGACTCCCGACAGGTACCTGCTGCCACTAATTCAAGACTTATCTTTAAGTCTCCACAAAAAGAAGATTTTTTCAAAAATTTACTTAACTCGCGGCTAATAAAATTGTGAAGAACCAGCAACTAAGACTTGAGTGTAAATAAGCTGAAGAAACAATTGAAAAAGGAAATAAATTATCTCAATCAAAATTTCTGCGGCAACCACAAAAATGCAGTTGCCAATATAGCAACTCTGTTGCCAGCTTTTAGTTGCCAGTTGCCATCTGTAATACCAATTCAGCCACTGGCCACCCAACTGAAGTTCGGTTGCAATCCGTAATCGACCCATTAATCTACTCATCATGTTGGAGCAGCTCCGGGTAATGGACCATTGAATGTGGCTGAAGTTATGACCACCATAACCAACGGAGTCTCCAAGCAAACGCAACTCCTGAATTTATACGGTAGCAGTTCATAGCAATTACTATTGTATGTGTGTATGATTCATATTTGGGACATTCTATACTTTGATCAAACCGATATTAAGTATTTCTGAGGAGCTCCGGGTAATGGTCGCTCAAACTTGGGTGTGCTTAATGAGCTGTCTTGGCAGATGCGCTGGCAGGAATTGGAGTCTCTATAGTTATAATAAAAACGTAAATATATTCGTAATGTTAGAATTTTACTTGATAATTTCGCAAAATAACACAAAATTCACGTTTTTCATGTATATGTATCAGGGTTGTTGCGAATATTCGCATTCGCACTCGCGACCGCGGAGCTTCCGCATTAATTTTAACATTCGCATTCGC